CTAATCATGACTAACCTCCATGCCAAATATGAAGACTAAGGGTCAAATGAATCTTAAGTGGTTGGGCAGACAAGGAAAAACCGACGGACAGCCGGACGGACGACCGGACGGACGGACGGACAAGCTGATTCCAGTATACCCCCTTACAACTTTGTTGTGCGGGGGTATAAATATGTTGATATAATTAACATATATTTTTATAGTTTATATCATCTTCACGAATAGTTTAGGTAATAAGATTGTTTTAATAGCAATGACAACATACATTAAATAGCAAAAAATACAAAAATATCTGCTTTGGCTGAAACAAGTTATAGACATACGAGGGTTATCCAAAACGTTCGCATACAGTTTTGCTTACACACACATATTCACTATCGAAATAACAAGCATGTTTTACTGAAAGTATACATTTATATCTTTTTTATTTGTTCTTTTTCAAATCGATTTTTTGCCAACAGGAGCACGCCAATATTTGGACGATCTTTGGCATCATACATCATAGCGTTATTTCAGCACTCAGTAGCAAGGAGAAAAGTAAACAGCAAGGGCGGTATTTGACGTTCACGAAAAAAGGAATCTAACACAGTTATGCGTGTCTCTGTAACTCTCATCAAATGAAACAATCAAAGTGAGAAACAAGCAAAAGGGAATGACCATGTGAATATAATTATATGCACGGCTTGCAAAATGCCATAGACGTTTATCATTAGTGGTGATATATGGTGTATATTGTTCTTTGTGAAGATCGATATGTTGTTAAAATGAGTTCTCTCGTCAAATAAAAGTCTTTATTATTATATTATATTATATTGTTTTGTGTTGTTTTGTGTTGTTTTGTATTGTATTTATTGTATTGTATTGTATCGTATCGTATCGTATCGTATCGTATCATATCGTATCATATCATATCATATTAATAATAAGCATATTAATGACATGATATGATCTGATATTATTATTGATGTTGTTGTTGTTCGAAATGTAACAGCTTTACTAATCTTCAGAGGAGAATTATTTGCTATAACATCGATGGGCGTCAACATTTTACTTCAAAGGTGCTAGTCGCAATTATTTAACTAAATTTATTTGTTTAATCTTGTTATTCTTGTGATATAATATCCATATATTAAAAAGAAATAAAATAGAAAAAAAGATTTTCGTTATATAATCTTAAATATAGAGGAAAGTCGGAAATGTAGTTTCGTTTATTTTACAAAGTTGAAACTTACCCTGTAAATGACATACTTTCCCAATCACAAGCAGTAAAATAGATAGAGGATAGATTAGATTAGATATGGGGATGGATGGATGGATGGATGGATGGATAGATAGATAAATAGAAAGTCGCAATTATTTGACCTTAAAATTTATTTGTTTTATGTTGTTATTCATGTGATATTATATTCATATATTAAAAAAATGAATAGAATTTTTTTTTTCGTTATATACGTGTTTAATCTTAAATTTAGAGGAAAGTCAGGAATGCAGTTTCGTTTTATTTTCTAAACAGCTTTGAATTTTATGTTAAACATGTTTAAAAAGTTGAAACTTACCCTGTGAATGACTTATTTTCGCTTTCACATGGAGTAATATAGTTACTAAAATAAAGAAATACAGAATCCCTGAAGAAAGCCCAACACGACAACAAGACAGCGTTATTCCATGAAAAGCAGCGTATGGTCCCCAAGTAAAAGAATGCGTGTGCCCTAAACGAGAAAACAATTGGCTGAACTAAATAAAATGGAATTTTGAAAGGGGGTCTGAGGTTAGGAAGCCTGCATATCACAGATAAGACGTCAAAAGACAAATTTAAAAAGCAGGCAACATATCCTAAGGGTGATTGAACAGTATTCAAGAAGGAATACTGGAACCACCCAAATTGAAAAAGGCCAAATACAAGAAACTAAAAATACCTTGTAAAATGTATAAACAACAATTAATAATGTCGTGCTGAACGTTCTTCAAGGATGGAAATATAATATCATTGATTAAATGTACAGGGAGACTTTTTACAGCCGCCACACGACACAAATAACATGGATGTGACAATAAAATAAAGAAATACAAATGAAGTCACATTTTCCGTTTACAGATGTACAATTTTAAGGTCCATATGGAATTTAACACCCGTGACTAGGACTGAATTAAAGAATTATTAGAAAACAATTACCATGTCTTCCTCTTTCGTTTTTCAATTTTTACCTCCCCTATGTCGAACACGACTAAATTGTTTTAGTTATCCTCCTCAATCGAACACCACGACTATAATTCATCAATAATTATAGGACTAAATTAACACGGAATGAATCCCCGGGTGTAATTTTTTGATAATGTATTGACATCCCAAAGAAAAAACACGTTTTCGGTCTATATTTGTATTAAGAACATGTCTGACCATCAAAATCAATTTAAAAAACGCCCACTGATCATCTTTTTTTAAGCCAAACACAAATAAAAAACTACTTTCCGACACAAAACGGGTCTTAAACATCCCAGATAAAACATATGCATATAATTTTAAATTTGCAGTTTCCATGAGATAATTGTGTCTAACTTAACAGATATAAACACCGCTATTATCACACCCCTTTAACATATAGAAACGTGCTTTAAATACATGTACATGTCAGTTTTAAACCGGATAACCCAAGATATAAAATTTTCTTTTAAGTGTCTCTTTTTATAGAATAACTTTCTATGATATATTGTGCAGCAATTCGAATTTCCCAAGACACAACTTTACAAAACGCACATTGGTTCGGTCTAACTCGCAGCAATTGAACAATATCTTCCTTGCATTCAATTAACGGGTGTGTTTATAATTAAATAAAGTCAATTTACCAAAAATAAAACGTTGCAACGGTTTAAGATTACAGTCGGGTTTGGTGGAAAATTTAGAGATTATTGAAGAGTAGATGGATTTCGTAAGCATGACGTCTATAAGAAAGTATCATACAGAAAGTAATATTTTAAAATGAACAAAAAAGTTGTTTACTCTTTTCCCTAGTTACTGTGTAGCACAAAAGGCGCTGAAAATTGGGTTTCCCCTTGAACGCGGCTTTTCAGCGGTTAATTTTCATTTTCTTGCCGATGAATTTGGCTGGCGGATTGGGTTATCCAATTAAAAAGAATGCGAAACGGCTGATGACGTTACTTAAATTTGATGACAACTCTAACTTAAATACCCTAATAACTTTTAACAGAATTGTTTTTTGAAGATAATGGTTTGGAATATTTAATGTCGAAATGTTGACGTTTACGAATCGTATGATAAAAGGATTTATTATCATGAGAAAATATAAGTTTTTGTGACTTAAATAAAAATGCCGCATCTCATAGGATAGTGTGGTTATTTTCAGTCAATATTCACGTCATGTAAAGCTTGCACAGGGCCAGAAATTTGTTAATATGCTCCTTTGGATGACATTCATCTGGGCGACCTTCTTTACGTGGTTTACTGATCTACATTTAATTCTATAAAAAAATCAACGGAGAACACCCATTCAAGCAAGTGTGTGATAGTATGCAGAACGGGACAAGTTATTAACAAGACACTATCCATCTGTAATTTTGAAACAAAGTAACATTCAAAAGTTGATATATAGATACTCTATGCGTGTATGTTTCCCCGTTTCACATGTTAATTCGGAAAAAAGGTAGTTTCATAGTTGTCTCCCTTGTATCGGTGGCTCAGTATTCTGCTCAGTATAGAAATACCAAAACAACTGAATAAAGTTAACACTGAAGGGCACACGCAAGGTATTTTCATATCTTATTACATAGGCTAAGGTTTTCAGATAGTCATTTTGCGCAATAATGTTCAAAGTCCAATGCATATACAAAGGCAGTTAAAGTATTTTTATACAACTCAGACAACCCTTTTTTCAAAATATTAAAAAAAACAGTTTTAAAATGTACTTCGATTCGATTGTTAAAACAAAATGTCTTTAAAGTGTTTTAATTTTTATTTATGTAAAAGTTGTGGTCCTAATTTAGATACAGGAAAATTGTTAAAAACATTTCAATACATGTACCTTGTATTACAAGGACAATTATCAAGTACCTACTTCAAATAACTTTAAACTGTAAACATTTTCCTGCTGTATGTCCTTTCAGAGGACCACGTGTGCATGTTTTCATATTATTAACCTTATCATTATTATTATTACAATAGATATATTACATGGCTTGTCACAGCCATTTTCGGAGGTGTACTACATGTATTTTCAAACTATTTAGTAGCAACAATGAAATAGAAACACTAAATTGTGTCTTATATATTTTATTATGGCTAAATTTAAAGGTCTGCATTAAAAAACAAGTATAGTAACTCTAAATCAGCAAAAAATCTCGTCTTTATGTGACCTTGTATTAATTAATGAATTAAACATTTATTTACTTCAATAACATGTTAATAAGCTTAGATAAAGCTTTGAATATAGCGTTTATGCAAAGAAAAGGAATTGATCTTTGTTGTACAGAATACATCTTTTTTTTATCTCCAAACATGTTAAATGATACATGATGCAATGTATTCTGCTTTTAGCAAGAAAGGTTGAAGCTCCCAAAGAAGCTATGGTGGTCGGGAATAGCAGGTTAATTATTGTACTCACAACGCATGGAACACATTTAGAGCGAAAACATAGTCTAATCGATGTGGAAAAGTATTAGTGTAATGGTTTCAATACATCCAGACTAGTCTTTTTATTGTCTGTGAATAATAATAATAATAATAATAATAATAATAATAATAATAAAAATCTTTATTTTAAGAAGGTAACACATAAAGATACACCATCGTAAACACAAATAAAATACAAAGCATATGTTTGAGTGTTCATGTGTACCACAATTATTTGCATCAAATTATTTTACTGTCATTCGGTCTATTTATGAATAAGAGCACCAATGAAGGAGCTTCTCCCGTGACTTTCCCGCAGCAGAACATTGGTACTTCCGCTTGTACATTTCACCCATACTTTCTGTCCGGCCTCTACACGGGCGAACGTGCTCATGGAGCCGCAGTCATGATTGTTACTGTCGTATTTGTTAGTCGTTGCTATGTAGGTATTTTCAAGAACTATGGCATACTGGAAATATCGGGTACTATAGTTACATGCATGTACTGCAAAGTAGTAGAGTCCAGAGACAGGCGCCTTGAACGTACCGAGAACTGTGTCATATCCTTTTCCTTCGTTCAAACGGGTGTATCTCCATACCATAATCTCGTTGGTATCTGGACTCGTATCGACTGGCTGATAGGCATCGAAAGCAACCAAGGGTAGTTCTACTCTTTCTAAAATACATAAAAAAAAAAAATAATATGTAATAGAATTTAAAAAAAAACTTCTGATAAGATCATGAATTTATAAAATCATCAATATCAAAATAACGTGAATATAACAAAAGAAATCCACAATTAACGCTAAAATGTATGATTATTTTAGTCCCTGTTATTTATGATCAATTTAACAAAAATTAGAAGAAATAATAATGATATGTTATTACTATGGCAAAGTATAAGATACGCTATTTCTTAAGTTTTTAACTTTCTGTGATCATCCTGAAAATAATTTTCCATTAGGTAATGTTAACCTTCTATAAGATAGTAATTTTGTCATATATTTTATCATTTATAGGCAAAGCATTGTGTTACTACTGTTAACAATAAAATGTTAAAAACATGTAAAGGAAGAGGACTAGTTGATTGTTATTTCTGCTGTGTTATTTCACTGATACTTGTTTGTTTTGGTTTAGTTTTAGTTTTTTCTTGTGTGCTTTTGTTCGTTTGTTGTTTCTTTATTCTTGTTGCTATCGTCGTCGTCGCTGTTGTGGGTATTGTTTTAGATATTTTGATAAGATTGTATATCTAAGGGTAGCAGTGGCCTTGTGATTAAGACAGCTTCCTCTTAATATAGAGATCATGGGTTCGAACCCTCCTAGAGTGTCAACATTGTTTTCTCATAATTACAACAGTAGCACTACTGTTTACTACCAGACAGCTTATATGCCACAATATTGTTTTTACGACTGAGTTTGAATAGACATAATTACTGATACAAATATTTGACAGCATTAGGTTTACATTTATTTATTTATTTATTTATTTTAAGGTTGCGCGTTCCAGCTATAGACATGGAAAAAGACGTTAGTTGTCCCTGAGTAGAACCACCGACCTTCCGTAAGCTAGCTGGATAGCTTGCTCACGCAAAAAAAATACAAATTCCCTGGCGGGATTAAAACACAGTTTTCAGGGGCAAGTGGTTTGAAGTTAGCGGTCCTAAGCAGACTATCGTGCAGTTGACAATATTTTGTTTTTTTATTTTTAAAATTTAAGTAGCTTCAGCTTTTTTACGTTTTGGATGCAAAAATTTTAAATTTATCAAAAAAAGGTTTCTCCGGAAATTTTTTTTTAAAAAATTTTTATGTAACAATTTAATAAAAAAATTTTTGTGTTAAAAATTACAAGAATTATGAAATTTTTCATCAATTTAAAAACTAAAAATTGTTAAAAAAAAGAAGGGGTTTTTTATAAAAAAAAGATTATCTAATCAAAAGTCTCACCTCCAAATAGCTCCAGTTCAGCGGTTTTATTATCTAATATACCAGCCTGGTTCTTTGTGAAAGTGCTGATATTTGTCTCTGTTTGTTTCAATTCCTCTTCCATTCGTTCCATCTTTATTTCCATATTAATCATCCTACTCAGAAGTTTAGCATGGTAAGCGAATCTGTCGGGCTGGTCATCGCCTGATGTTACTGTTATTAAAGCTGAGTTTACCAGTCCAAAAATAAGCAAAACTTTCAATTTCAACATTGCAGAACCTTTGTCACTTTTGTCACAGTGATATTGCACAATCAGCACAATAAACTATCTGTATAATTCATAATGTCAGTATTGTTCATTGTATAATAGCTTTTAGATATAGAGATTGTCTAAACTGGTATCTTTAACTTAATTGGTCAGTATAACAAACAGACACCATCCCTCTTTTCACTTTTAACCAATCACAGTGAAATTATTTATTACTCATAATGCACTTACTTTCCTTGATTAATGAAATATTTGATGTTTTAAGTGGCACTTATAATGCTTATACCATAAAACAATTGTTGTTAAGCTAGTGTTCCTAGTGTTACTTTACTGCATTTTAATTAAACGGTACTTTTTGAAATTATGCATTCAAGTTGAACTAGCATTCTTTTAACAAGTTTAATTATATAATGCATTTATATGTCTTCCCCAGATTGTACCAACAGCAAAGTAACAATATTCAAATTAAATGAATGCTGTCATGCCTCATAATAGTAATACTATATAGATTTTAACCGTTCATACAGAAGAAGCAAAACTGACATTTAAAATGATGTGAACACTAAGCTGGGAAAACGTAAAATGTCCCAGGAATAAGCTAAGGTTATACAGATATTGGTTGCAATGTTTACACTGTCAGTGAATTAGACCGGTGCTCTCTTCTTTAATCAATGATTCAAACATATTAATAGACAACAATAAAATACATTGTAAGAATGTTATATATTTGCCTTCCAATAGTCACTCTACTAAGCTCGGTAAGTGCAGACACTACATATGGAAAGCGAACGGTAGTCAAACAGTATACTTCTGTATCAAATAGCCAATAATACACTGATGACAGTATAATCTAAGGAATAGGGTGTTAATATTTTAAGATCATTTAAAAAAGAGACTAAGCCATTTTTGCATACATTGCTTGCAATGTATACAGAGTTATAAGCTATATCTCAGAAATCGTTACAGGTTAAGTCGTTACCGAACAACATCCACTCCCGGATAAAAACCGCTATAGAAACTAGTTCTTCATTCTGCAGTAGCGTTACATTTCGACTACACATCATTAAAATAGTGTTTGCAAAGTTGTTTAAATGCTTTGAAAGTTCCAAATCGTTCATTTTCATGAAATAATAAACTCTAAAACAAAAAATAACAGTTCATTGATTAAATCGTAGTTTATACCTACGCGTTAAACTTCGCATATACGCATGCGCTTGCTAGCATGAATGAATACATCGTAAATATAGTAAAGTCGTCAGAATTATATAAATGGGACGAAACATCTCAGATAGATATTAAATCAAATAAAATTCCTGATTTACATTTATGCAATAAAATTGCCCTAAAATGTTTTACTAAATGAGTATGGAGCTCCGTAACAAAATTTAACAGAGTATACCGGAAAATGTTTGTTTTTTTAACCTGGCTTCGAAAAATAGAAATTTCGTAAGCTATTCTTTTGAATACCTTTTTTACACATGATTTTCATTTCACTTTTGTATGCCTTATATTTTTGAAAAGAAATATGTTTCGAAATTTAGCGAAGATTGCCTGATTCAGTACGGGGTAAAAATAAAGATTTGGCCGCTCGACCGTTCGACCCATAACAATTCGTCGAACTTGGGATATTGACGATAAAGCCAGAGCATGGAGCTAAATATAGGCATACACATGTATATGGCCAGATTCGACGATAAGAAATAATCATTTGAAACTAACTGTAAATCAGTGTGAGCATTAAGAAATAAAAACATTAAATTTATGTTCAGAAAATAGGAATTATTTTAATCTGCTTATATTAATGGGTGCATGGAATTGCCGAAAAAACGAAAAACACCAAAAAATACAAAGGAGTATTAAGGCTGTGATTAAATTCAGCAAATATAAACAATTTTTGATGGTTATTTGATGAAATGGGCTTTTGATGGTTATTTGATGAAATGGGTTCAATAATATCAGTTTTAAATCGATGTTATATACAATTGGTATAATTCCAACAAAATTAGTTTTATCTACTTTTTTCTATCTTTTAAATGATTAAAATTTACTTTCCTTTTGCAACAAGTGTAAATTAGAGAATGATTCTATTCTGTATTTAATGCGATATGAAAGTGTTTTTCGGCAAAGTAACAGTCTAGCGTCAAAAAAAACATGGAAAAGCCGAAAAACACATTTTTACGGGCATTAAAATAGTCGTAGTTAAAACAAGAGCGGCTATTAATTTTTTCAAGCTTTTAAATGAATAACTATTACTTTCTTTTGTTACCAATGGAAAATGTCAGTGATATTTTTTTTATAAATACAGTATGAAAGTGTTTTTTGGCTACGTAACGGTCTAGCGTCAAAAACATGGAAAAGCCAAAGAAAACAACACATTTTAATGGCGATGAAATGGAAATTTTTAAAATAAGAACTATTAAATAAATTTTTCAACAGTCGAAATGAATGATTATATGATTATAACATTATATTTGTAAGCAATGTAAAAATCAGTAATGTTTTTGTAATAAGCATTGTATGAAAATGTTTTTCGGCTATGTTACTGCCTAGCGTCAAAAACATAGAAAAACAAAAAAAAAAAAAAAAAAAAAAAAAAAAAAAAAAAAAACAAACAAACAACACATTTTACTTGCGATAAAATAGATATATTTAAAAAAAAGTGCTGCTAAATACATTTTCAACCGTTTAAATGAATAACTTTTACATAAAATTCATTACCTTTATAAAATGTCAGTTATTTTTTGTACTAAGTACAGTATGAAAAAGTCAGTGGTGATACTTATAGGTTGGCTCAGGGTGAGGTTTTAGATTGTTGAATGTCGGCCATCCATCTTTTGTCAACTCTGGTCTGTCCACATTTAGTATCGTCGGATACCCACGGCCGAACCATTTACATGTATCAATTATGTCATGTTAAATGTTAATCAACCATGTGTATCCGACGATGACATTACAGTTGTTAACAATTTGCTGGTCATTTAGTTTGTTAACACTCTACTGGTCACACTTTTGTCCCAATTGTCACACAATATTGTAAGAATGTGTGTGACAGGTTTTGCTCGAGTTTGAACATGAATCACATTGGTTGAAAATCAGAAGCAGGTCACAGTAGCCAAAAAATAGAAAAAATGTTTTAGCTCAATGGTTCATCTAAAGTTAAGAAGTTGGTAACACAACCTGCTTATGGAAAAACCCTTGTTAACTTGCTGTCAAATATAAATGAATTTCTTGGAAAGGTTGTATATGAAGACTATATGTAACAATTTATTGAATAATGAAAATGTTACAGTACATTTGAATTGTTTTGATTATAGATTTCATTTTTATTAATAAACGATAAAGTAATGCATTTGAAAATTAATGTGTAGAGATTAATACAACACACCGGAATATATGTATTAATGCATCAAAGTACAGTACATAGATGTACTATAATTTGGTAATTAAGTCTTGTAGGATGATTCAATTAATTAACTTTGTATAGAGTTCAAGCCAGATCATGTATTTTATTAGAGATTTTACTCAATACAGGATTGGAGCAATACCTGTAGACGCTTGCAGAAATCATGATCATAAAACAGACAAATATCGTTTTTTTCGCCGATTTTTACATTTTTTATTCATTATCTGACATAAATCGGTGTGAAAAGATGAATTAGACGTTTTAAAGTTCATTCCGTTGGGTGAAAAAGCAAGATTTTAACATTTTATAGTTCAATTTAAGCGCCTTGTCCGGTATATACCGGAATACGGTATTTAGTGTGGTGCTTCAATCCTTTTTTAAGTCACACTCTTTTATTATATAGCATCACTGGAAACTCAATATGACTGTTTCAATATTCTATACTACAGTCCATTTAACGGGTGTTTTAAAAAAATGATTTCTTTATTGCTCATCTGTCAGCTTGCCTAGCAATACACAGATGGAACATCACATCTTCCTTGTCTCATAAATAACTTTGGAAGAAAAAAGCCTTTGTGCATGTGAGTCACTTGTTAGAGACATGACCTTGGTCAGAAGATGACCCCTATTGTTTTCGAGGTCAGTAGGTTAAAATCAAGATGGCTTTGATGACAAAAATGGATTATATTATCAAGCAATGTATACTTCAGTACTTTCAGTGCTTTGATTTCAATATGCAGTCAAGCTTATTGATTGGATTGTGATTTGAAGATAGATACGGAATACATATGAGCCGCGTCACGACAAAACCAACATCATGGGTTTGCGACCAGCATGGATCCAGACCAGCCTGCGCATCCGCGCAGTCTGATCAGGATCCATGCTGTTCGCTTACCAACGAGTAAATGATAGCGAGCAGCATGGATCCTGATCAGACTGCGCGGATGCGCAGGCTGGTCTGGATTCATGCTGGTCGCAAACGCACTGTGTTGGTTTTGTCATGACGCGGCTCATATTCACATATGGATCACGTATTGCATTTTGTCCGATGTTCCCTTGAATTGACCAAACAATGTTATTTCTGCTAGAAGTTTTTACGCTTTTTTAAATTTTCATTAAAAAAATAATAATAAATAAATAAGGAGTCATTCTGCTGTCCAAAAAGATTCAAGTAGGGTTGTTCTTTCAAATAGAAATTCACGATATCGACCTAATGGGTTATAATTTGATATATGTTAACGAAATTGATAAACAGTATGTAGGTCAGGTATTTATAAAATGAAATAATGTCAATATTCTATCATTTGGATTCTATATGTTCGGAATGCGTGTTTCTCAATCAGTGGCGGTTGGGTGTGTATGTTTATATACATGTATATTGAAGCATAATTATTACAACGTTAGTGTAAGCTCTAACCATCATAATTATGTCCAAATCAATAATTAAGACAGTAATACCCTCGATAAAAAAAAGTATTTTTATTTCATCACAACAAAAATTACTATACACGCATTTCATTAAATGAGCCGTGTCATGATAAAACCAACATAGTGGGTTTGCGACCAGCATGGATCCAGACCAGCCTGCGCATCCGCGCAGTCTGATCAGGATCCATGCTGTTCGCTATCACTTTCTCTAGTTGTTATAGGGTTTGTA